GGGAAGCTGCGACACACATAACGGTGTTGATATACCACGGTGGAGTTAGAGTTACCGCGGTGTTACGTGGAGTTACCACGGTGTTACGTGTTTATTGCGTGTTAAACCAGGCAAATGCAGTTTTTTGAATGAGCCTCCATGTTAAAAAGGAAGGAGGGCTCGATGGATTTTTAGCTTTTCGCAAGAGGCAATCATCTCACCCTCCTCGGTGCTCCTACCCACCCAAGGCTCAGTTAGAAAATCCTCTCGGCTAAAATCGTATAAGAGCGCCCAGATGGCAGAAGCACATCCTACTTTCCGTCTTTTATGCTATGCTAGTATAACACTGATTAACACGTATGGTCGTGTTAATTTCTTGTCATTCTCACACTATTGTGGCATGCACCTTCCCGCTCCCATCTCATTCTAATCAATTTATTCCAAGATGGGTTAGTTCCAGGAATTTCCGTTACCGCACATGTTCAATATTGAGTTGAATCCCAGTTCGGTACCTCACGGGTCCATCCAGACGAATCATGCTTTTCTCATTCCGGGGGTCGATTGGTTGGTACGACATTCATTACTAATTATAAAAGAATTAGAATCGTAAATTGAACAAAGGCTAGTTTTTACAAGATACTGTGTGGGCCATGAACACGCTCGATTTGGCTGGGCACATCAGAACATTTCATAGTTGAGCACATCCGTTTGGGTTCTTTGGGTAGGAACTGTTTCAATAAACGCAATTTCAGCCTTGACAGTTGCTATCGGGGATGACAGCAATTTTGCTGACCCAACTGAAATACATAATACAAGGTATAGTCTATTTACCTCAGTAATGGGATTGAGAAGAGTATCAAAGCATTTTCAAATTTCAGGCACATCAAACAGCACTTGAAGAAAAATGGCAAAACTCATAGCATTTCGAAAGATCAACAGAGGTACGAACTACAGAGTGAAAATTAACCAAGGGAGGCACACGTTTACATGCCCTCCTCTCTTGACTATCTCTTGGCGAGATCACACATAGTCTATTTCTCACTCATTCCAAAGTTTTGCACGAAACAGGCGTCTTTCCCACCCGGTAACACTCTGTTCCTGGGATGCAGGCGAAGAAAACCTATTCTCTTGCTTAGGAGTAGTTTCCATGCGTCGCCACAGGCCTGCAAAGCCAGGGCCCATCATTCTATGAACTTTGAACTTAAGCTCACTGGATGCTCCGGCTTGTCGCCTAATCGCTGATTCCTCGGGATGTACGGGACCTGATCATTCCTTGAAAGAGTAACATCCGGTGAAGCAGATGAGGGAGTACTTTTTTCCTTCGCTAATGGTCTAATTATCAACCAGGGTAAGGCACTGGCTCCTATAAAAAGGTTCTTTTTGTATTTAGAGACAGCTGTGTCTTATTGTTAGAGGTGCTGGAGCCTTATTCAACAAATACTTCACCGCCGGTTTATTCTATAAAGGGAATGATGTAGTGTATTTTAGGCTTTATTATTTTTTGATGCATGATCTCAACAATGACAGCTTCATTGATGGTAACGAAATTCTAAGGAGTCTCACTCATAGCCACACAGGTTGGATTTGTTATTTTGTAGTGTTGTTTTCGGGACAAATTTCTGCCTAAAGGTGCTGATCAATCATGCTATCGAGACCCTTTCCCCCTCACCCTTCCGTACAAGTTTGACGGGGACCTTAAAATTCACCTCCTAATCAAACCCATCACAAAAAGCTGCTAACGGTTCCCATAAAGTTATCCTTGAAACTCTGAAGGCATTTCCTGTACCTCTACGTTATTGTTTGCCTTTTGAGTAACGGATGTATGGAAAACACCTGAGAATGGATGATCACGTCTGAGTAGCCTGAAGGCTTAGAACTATAGACGGAACAGGTAGAAGGAGATCCACGAACTTCCAATTTGAAAATGTTCTCGCTCAATATCAGTAAAAGATGTCATTCATTTGTTGATTATCAAGTATTAATCCACTCTGAACAACGAATAGCCAGAAGTTTTTCCCTTTTTGCTGTTGTTTGTTTAAAGTGGGAGCATAATGATTGCAGGTTTTGATAGACCAATGGGTAGTGAAGATTCCATGATCAAAACCATAGATGATGTAATGGGAAAGATGGACCTTAACGGAGATGGCTACATCGATTATCTTGAATTCCTGAAGCATGAAAGAAAAGTCGCTCACTCAACTGCACAGTGACCTTTATTTGCCATTTCCGCAGCAAGCAGAGCCAATACCAAACTCTTATGTTGTTGGTTGTACAGCGGTCTACAAGTAATTGGAATTGAAGGAATAAATCAATGAATTACTTTGATGTACTTTAAATAATGCTCCTACACCTTAAAATTGACGTTCTGCCAGAATAGGTTCTAGCGTCCGAAAGAGAAAAACATTGTATCCAGGTCTTTGCTTTTTAACAAAAATGGTCTAAAAGCGAGCTGGTGTCAACCGGGTTTGTGTCCATATGTCCCATCAACATTTTTAGGTTTAGGTGAGCATCTACTGAAAAACTTGCAAATAGGCAGGTAAATTAAGAGATCATGTGTTGACTGCTTGAATGAGAAAAGTCTTTAGCTGCCCAGAAAGGGGAGACTTTTGTTACCTATTCTCAGCTATCTACTGTATAAACTGTATAATCGCAAGGCTATCGGGAAAGGGGATTCAAGTGCAAAGCGTACTTTGCATCAAAAGAAATA